TGTCAGCCTTGAGTTTTATCTATGAAATTAGATTAATTTCTGTAGAAATGAAATATTCAGTTTATTATACTCTGTTACGTATTGTGAAGTATTGATCTCAATAAAGTTAAGTAGGACCAGTTGGAAATAGGCATGTATGGATCACATCACATGTAATTTCCATGCTACGCATCCATGATTGATCTATGTCATTTAGCTGTATTAGTATACGTGACCATTGGTGGGTCGAGTTACGATTGATGTAACGAAGACCGCTTTGATCCTATATTAATATAGTTAATGGACAAGATTGTTTGGATACCCTCAAGTTATGATAACAAATTTCTGAGCTCACTAAAGTTAAGCACATTTTTCAAGATACATATGTGGTCCAGTAGGAGATTGTTAGATAATATCTCAATGGGACCACATAATTACATGTGGTGTTATCATTTATAAGAAGCCTACAATTTAAGTGATTCAATTTAGTTAATAGGCTTAAGGGTATATGTGTTATGGACCTAATGTGTAGATACTAGTTGCATAATTTCTATTTTTATGAGGGGCAAAAATAGAAATTAAAACATATTGGTTAAAGTTGGTTTTCATTACCTTTCAGTTTTAAAACCAATAATGGTTAATTTATTGGTTTTCATTACCTTTCAGTTTTAAAACCAATAATGGTTAATTTATTGGTTTTCATTACCTTTCAGTTATGAAAACCAATTACAACCTTTAAAAGGTTATGGTCCCTATTCCTTCCCAAGGTGAAGAAAAATAAGAACACTGTTTTGTTTTTCTAAATCCTCTCAAGGAGAAACATAAGGCACTAAAGGGGAAAGGATTAGAAGGCAATAACATAGTCAATATCAAGGTTTTATTGACAATCAGACGCTTCCGTTTAACCGTTCATCGATAGATTCAGGTATGTCATTTTGTCTTGTTTTCTTGATGATATACATGATAGATGATCCGAAACATGAAATGTTTACAATTTGTTGAATGTCCAAAGCGTAATTCAAAATGCATAGAATGGTGAAGAAAAATAAAAGATGTCATTGTCCAAAGACCCTCAATAGTTGAGGCTTAAAATAAATAAATAAAAATCTCTATTTTCAAAGACCTGGTAAAAAAAAATTTCCTTGTCTAATGACCCAAATATAAAAATAAAAAAACTTGAATTTTAATTAGAAGAATGAAAAAGAAATAAATTTTACGTTAAAGAGTTATAATATAATATTATTTAAATATAAAAATGTTTCCATTCAAATTTTATGTTATGTGTCATGGAAAGTTAGGCTGGCTTTGTTTCTCGGTATGAAAATGTTATTTAAAAATTATATTTATATAATGCTATTCTTTTAATAATATTGTTATCAACCTAAAGCTAAAAAAAAATTTATTCATCCATTTTTAAGTAAGGATAACTTCTTTTTCTGATTAGTTTTTTTAAGGGAGAATTACATCTCAATGGGATATAGGTTTTTTTTTTTTTTGGCACAAATACGGAGGGACCCACAATATTTCACTTGCATCTCATCATAAAATCATTTGCACTTCACATATTTTTATAATTTTTTTTTTCTTATTCTCACCGTGCTGTAATTCCCCCTTATTTTAAAGTAGTAAGCTCTCATTAAAGAACCAATTAGAAAAATAAATAAATAAATAAATAGTTATGTCTATTCATTGTAAGCTAAGAAGTACAGACACTTCTAAGAAGGTGATGTATCCGTTTCGTATCCGTGTCGGACATCGACACTCTTTGTACACTCATAAGAACGTGTCCGACACTCTTCAAAACGTATCTTATTTTTTAAATTTTTTTAAAGATCTGGACACTCTTTGGACATTTAGATGATACACGTGTCAATTACTTAAACACACATATCTATTGATTAGACACATGTGAAACTAATTATAAGTTTAAATAAAACAACTTAAAACACAATAACAAAACAAAAGTCATAAAAATTTATAAAATTTAGTGTCATATTACATTTTTTATTATTTTTGAATGATATATTCATATATATAAATATATAGAATTATATATTTCATGGGTGTCCTCCACGTGTCGTGTCCTGCATTTTTTGAAAATTAACGTGTCGGCATATCCGTGTCATATCTATGTCATGTCATGTGTCTCTATCTATACTTCTTAGATTGTAAGGTTATTTTAGGCACATGGATAAACAAAATAAAACCTTTTAAGTCAAAATATTTTTTTAGAAAATCATTTAAAACCCCCTAGCATTTTCATTTTCTTTGAAAATGACCTGCTATTTGTGCCTGAAATTATTGATTTTGTTACAAGCCCCCTTTCTTGCCTTCGGAGTATTGATTTTGCTTGAGCAATTTATTAAATTTTTTATTTGTGCCACTAATTTTGTATAGTTAGAATGGGTTGTAATTTTCTAAGGCAAATCACTTGAATCCATCTCCTTCTTCATTATTTGCTCACAAAATTTTGTGATAAAGTTATACATTTTGTAGTAGAGTGTATACGGTATGCATCCCTAAAGGAGTGCACACCATAACATTTTCCTTTGGGACAATTTGGAAAAATTAGCTTTTTTGTTTTTTTTAATTTTTTATCTTTTTTGAGTCACATCACCATTTTATTTTTTTACACAAAAAAGTCAAAAAATCAACTTTTTATCATCTTCCCAAAACATTACTTTGATATATTTACTCTATTTTTGGCCTAATTATCTACAAGCTTGGAAGATATTGAAAAAAATAATTTGTTGTAAGCAACTAGACGTGTTTGTTTATTTTTCTTTTTTCTTTTTAGTTCTTCAATGTATAACTAATTACAGAATCAGACATGACATTCTCGTATGACTGTGGAATGCACAAAAAAGTAGAACCCATCTCATATAAGAAGGTTGTATCAAATTTGGTGTTTCTAGATTTTTTTGTTTTTTTTGTTTTTTGATATCCTAGACGTAGTTTTATTTAAGAAAAATGTCATTTATGATTGGACTTGTGTATAAACCTAGCATTAACCGGATATGGCTCAAGTCGGCATCAATGTTCCTAATCTAGTTTTTTTAGCTGCCTTCTCACTTACTAGCTTGAAGGCATCTTTTGCAGGCGATCTCAATTTTGACAGTAAAATATCTTCCTTTTGAAGTTTTTAATCCCATAATAAATAATTTATTTTATCAATAAATCATTAAATCAATTAACTATTTTTAATGATATTATAAATATATTTTAATTAACAATTCATATAATTTTATTATTGTATAAAAGATTAGTTGAGTTATTTATTTATTTATTCTATTAAATTTTTGATAAGGGACATTTTTAGGGGTTGTTTGGGTTGTCCTAAATAAGTGTACTTTTTATCTTTTTAGACTAAAAAATTGAGGAAAAAAATATGGATGTTTTGGTTAATTTTTTGACTTTTTATAGAAAAATGTGTATTAAAAATTATATAAATTAGTGTGTAGAGAAAAATTAGTATTGAAAATTGTGCAACCGTAATTGTTGACTTTTAGTAAATAGTGACTTTTGGTGAATAGTGATAACTTTTTAACTTTTTGAGTAACTTTTTTGGCTTTCTGACTTTTTGGCAACTTGCCAAACTTGGCCTTAGGGATTGTTTGGGGTGCCCTAAATAAGTGCACTTTTTATCTTTTTGGACTAAAAAATTGAGGAAAAAAATATGAATGTTTAGGTTAACTTTTTGACTTTTTATGGAAAAATATGTATTAAAAAATTGTAAAATTGATTTGTAAGGAAAATTAGGATTGAGAGTTGTGCAGCCGTAATTGTTGACTTTTGGTGAATAGTGTTAACTTTTTAACTTTTTGAGTAACTTTGACTTTTTGACTTTTTCTTATCTTCCCAAACTTGACCTTAATCTCTAAAACTATAAGAGACAATATATATTTTAAACAAATTTTATGAGGTATATTTATAATTTATTTTAAAAATAATATGGAGGTCATCCACTTAAATTTCATTATTGATGTTCTCATCTTCAATTTTCCTTTTTTAACTGTGTGACTGCGTGAGAGAGAGGGGGAGAGAGAGAGAGATAGCACGTTTGTTTGGTGGGATTGGACTAATTGTCCATTGTTTGTTTTAAATTTTTTCGGACTATTAATCCCAAATTTATCGAACTCTTGTATCCTATGAGGGGGAGTGGGACACAAATCATGAAAAAACTCATCCCGTGAGATTAGGTTGCCAAATTACATTGTTGACCCTCTAGTATTAAATATCTTTTTCCTCATTAGATATTTTATTGATTTTTTTTTAAAAATTTTGTTGATATTTTATTTAATTTCATTATTTAAATTTTAATAGATGTTTTATTTAATTTCATTATTTAATTATTATTATTATTTAAAATAAAATTATTTAAAATTTTAATTAAAAAAATAGCATATATTTTTATTTATATTTTATTTATTTAATTGTGTAAAAAATAAAATAAAATAAAATAAATTTTTATTTAATCAAGCTAAAAATAATTAAAATATTAAAGATACGTTTAATATTGCTATTACTTAGTAAATAATTGAAAATGGTAAAATAGTCATTTGAGTATTTCCTGACATCTAATCCTATGACTAAACCGACTTGGATATATATCCTATCCAACTAAATAGTCCCAGGGCTATAAATCTCAGGATTACAATCCGATAGATTCTAATCTCTCATTATCCAATCCGTCCAAACAAACATTTTGAGAGAGTATTGGGACATGGTCAAGCTCAAGCATCCTGGAAGTTTGCAAGGTCCGGATTTGGACACGACAAAGGGTCAGAGGTGAAGTTTTGTTGCACCTCAAAGAAAAGGTCAATAAATTTTCTTTGCCGCCAAACTACAACATCAGAGACACAGCCCCTAAAATTGTGTTTGCTTAAAGACTAATTTGAACAGAAATAGCCTTGAACCTAATCATATCTCAATTTTTATCCCATTAGGTAGAAAGGGGTATGAATGGTCAATTTTCCTTGGATGACCACTCAGTATTCATCATAATACTCTTCTAGAGTTAATTAAATCAAAGACTGGCCACATAAAAATCTATTTAAATCGTACAGCTGTTCCAAAATACATAACATCCCATTTGTATACATTATCTAGTCGAGACAGATATGACCCCAAAAAAAGCTGGAACTGAAAACCACAAAATCATTAGTAGAAACAACCATGTCAATGTTTAATTTCTTCTGCAGGTATGCTAGTCTTGTTGGGATGAAATACTAAACTGCCTCCATGATCCTATTAATCTGCTCCACCCAAAGAATCCACTATATGTTGAACCCGGGACAAGTGCTTCTTCCCATTAAGGTGAGAAACCATATGAACCTCACCAGGGCACTTAACATTACAGATAAAGCAACATAATTTAGACTTGTTCACCCCATACCCAGTAGTGTTCTTTACTTCTTTCTGTTTGCGTTGCTCAATAATCCGGTTCACTTGTGCGATGTCCACTTGTTTCTTACTTTTATTTTGGTTTATCCAATCACCAGCAATGGGCTTTTGGGGCTCCTGATTGGCTGTTGAAGACGGGCAGCCCTTGTTTTTGTTTGCTAGCTTGATTGCTTGCTTGATTGCTTTCAGCTCTGCACAAGTGGATTTGTGTCTTCGCCCCTGAAGATGAGACTTCAAGTTTTCTTCACACAAGGTCGTCACCTGACATACAGCACACGTCCACTCTTTCTGAACATTCTCTGAAGCAGGTCTCTCCTTAACTTTGTTCTCTCCACCACCAGCTGCGACAGCAGGTACCTCCTCAACTTCGTTCTCTCTAACATCTTCTATCACGGTCTTTTCCTCAATTTTAATAGAGGTAACTGTTCTCTTCTCAGTTTGAGAAAGATTTGGCTCTTCAACACACTTAACCTGTAGTTAGCAGACATATCTTACATTTTTATATTTTTAGCAAGAAATCAATACGTGTTATGGCTTTGGCAGCTATTTTAGCAATGCATTGGAGATGCTCTTACGATACATAATGCAATTTACAAAACACGAGACATGATATGATACATGAATACTTAAAATTCTTTAGCAAATTTGAAAAAAGCAATTGGACTTAATGTCTAGTAAATTAAAATGTTGTTAGAAATTCTCATTAATGTATTAAAAAATAATATTTTTTTAGATGCGAATGGTACCTTCCCTTCTATTTTCTCTACTTTTTCGAAAAATATCTATTAGTTTAATATGTAAGTATCATATGCGGTTGATTTATACCTACATACACCAGTAAAAGTTTAAAATTTTCTACTATTGACAAACTCGTTGAAAATATTAAAAGCTAAATGGTGAATTAAGGTCTCGTTTGTCGACTATATAATTTAGTCAAAAAATTATCATAAGTTGTCACATCACACTCTATCTTTTTGCACATCTTTTCATAAAAAGCCAAAAAATTACTAAAATAACATGTTCCCAAACGAGGCCTAAGATAGTATTTTATACATATTTTAACTTCACTCTACACTTTATATGCATTTAAGTATTGAGAATTATACATTTTATATGTATTTTATCTTCAAGCAACCTTACTTTTGCAATTTTAAGAATTTTTCATCGTTAGTGTTTTGTTCTCTCAAGATATTTGTTAGGTTTATTTTCTACCTATTTTTAAAGTTGTTAAAAAATCTTACAACAATATGATATGATACAATACAGAGTCAGAAAAATAGAAAAAATGATACATGATTCATATTTTGATTTGAGAACTATGAATACAACAAAAGAAAACTTAGGAATGTAATTGAAGTTAATAAAATGCAACTAAACCAACAAAAAGCAACTGTAGAGGTGGGAAAGGGATATAAGTTGATTATATGAATGAAAAAAATGAATGAAAAATTGCAGCACTTGAGGAACCAAAATATAATGAAAAATACGATAGCAGACATTACCTGTTCTGTTGCAGTTGTGGAATTTTTCTCGTTCAGTTCTTCTGCTTTGGCATTCTCCTTAGCAACAGCAAATTCTTTGAATTTGGACTGAAAAGGGAAAAACAGATGATTCATAGGTGGTTTTATCTTTAAAGTAGAAACATTACTATGATAGAAAATAAATAGGAAACCTTACCCATTGTGTTGAAGCTGCAAGAATTTTCTCCTTTGGTTCCACTGTTTTGGCATCCTTGTTGGCAACATTAGGCTCCTTGAATTTGGACTAACAAAAAAGATGGTTCATAGAGGATATACTTATCAATGACAAACTCAATCATGGTATAACATTTGTTACACGACTCCAGTATGAGTATCAGGTGTGGGTATGTGTAGGCATCAAAATTCCCTAAACCTTAATCATTTGATATTGGGATATGTACTGCAAGTACATGAATATGTCCTAAACATTTAAATAAATTGTATATCGTATAGAATAACAACGATTTTTTTCTCTTTCCAAATTCTAACCCCATTGGAGGATTATGTCTGTCCCTTCAATCTAAGCAAGACCAACACTAACCCCCATTGGAATTTCACAACAGAAGCTGATAAAACTCATGGATTAGACAAGCAGCATAAGAAACTTTACCTGAATTGCTGCAGCCATTTCTTTTGTCTCAACTGTTTCTTTTGCTACCATATTTGTTATTGCCTTGATCTCTTCCACATCAATCTTTGGCATTGTATGATTGGACTGACGCAAAGGCAAAAGGGTAATCAACAGCATATATATATATATATAGAGAGAGAGAGAGAGAGAGAGAGAGCATATACTTTGTCATGCATATTCCGTGTATACCCAAATTGAAAAGATCCAAGTTTTTGACAATTATGTATGCATGCATATCAGCATTTGCACGTAATGATCCTATCATATGACATTATAAACATGAACTTTGCTGACTCAAAGCCTAATAAAACTGTAGACTCTGTTAACAAACATTTAGCTTTCTACAAAATTTATCCAATTGTTCAAACACTCCTCATTATACATCTTATCTATCATTGACAGGCTTAGTGAGTATGGCATACCTTTCTGTCGATGAGTTTCTCCAAAGCTTCAGATCCGTTCTCTTTAACATACATCTCTGCCACAGCTAGAAAGCTTTCTGCATTGAGAGATACGTCCTCCTTGTGTTTGACAAACTGTCTGATAACTCCTTGTGGATTCACAGATAAACACGGACGAATAAGGCACTCATAAACATAGCAAGCACCATTAAAGTGGGGTAGGCCTAACCAACAAATGGCCATTAGCTTCATGTAAGGCCAGAATGGAAGCCTGACATGCACAAAGGAAATTAGAAAGCACCGCCAAATAAATTGAACAATTTAGAAGGGAAAAAAAGAAAAAAACAGAACAATACTACGTTTTGGGAAAGTCTGGTAAAAATTCTGCGCTCTTAAGATGTATGAGAGCCCAAAATAAAGACCAACTTGGGTACATTTTAGGGACACAACAATGGATAAACAAATGTAGGCTGGGGATTCCCAAGGTGGAAAAGTTGAAAGCCAGGAATAGTTAAGCATGATTGTGCGGTTGGAAGTGTATCGAGCATAGAAGACAATAAGGCAGGGTTCTAATTCAGAAATTTCAAAATATGACAATCTTGCATGATTGGGAGTGTGTTGAGGACAAAGATCCCTTGCCCTAAAGGCTGGACTACTTGATATTTTTTGGACATAGTAAATCCTATTGGCGACATTTAATGTTGAATAATTATTTAATAGTTTTGGAGTACAATAACTGTTAGTTAGGTTTATTTTCTACCTATTTTTAAAGATGTTAAAAAATCTTACAACAATATGATATGATACAATACAGAGTCAGAAAAATAGAAAAAATGATACATGATTCATATTTTGATTTGAGAACTATGAATACAACAAAAGAAAACTTAGGAATGTAATTGAAGTTAATAAAATGCAACTAAACCAACAAAAAGCAACTGTAGAGGTGGGAAAGGGATATAAGTTGATTATATGAATGAAAAAAATGAATGAAAAATTGCAGCACTTGAGGAACCAAAATATAATGAAAAATACGATAGCAGACATTACCTGTTCTGTTGCAGTTGTGGAATTTTTCTCGTTCAGTTCTTCTGCTTTGGCATTCTCCTTAGCAACAGCAAATTCTTTGAATTTGGACTGAAAAGGGAAAAACAGATGATTCATAGGTGGTTTTATCTTTAAAGTAGAAACATTACAATGATAGAAAATAAATAGGAAACCTTACCCATTGTGTTGAAGCTGCAAGAATTTTCTCCTTTGGTTCCACTGTTTTGGCATCCTTGTTGGCAACATTAGGCTCCTTGAATTTGGACTAACAAAAAAGATGGTTCATAGAGGATATACTTATCAATGACAAACTCAATCATGGTATAACATTTGTTACACGACTCCAGTATGAGTATCAGGTGTGGGTATGTGTAGGCATCAAAATTCCCTAAACCTTAATCATTTGATATTGGGATATGTACTGCAAGTACATGAATATGTCCTAAACATTTAAATAAATTGTATATCGTATAGAATAACAACGATTTTTTTCTCTTTCCAAATTCTAACCCCATTGGAGGATTATGTCTGTCCCTTCAATCTAAGCAAGACCAACACTAACCCCCATTGGAATTTCACAACAGAAGCTGATAAAACTCATGGATTAGACAAGCAGCATAAGAAACTTTACCTGAATTGCTGCAGCCATTTCTTTTGTCTCAACTGTTTCTTTTGCTACCATATTTGTTATTGCCTTGATCTCTTCCACATCAATCTTTGGCATTGTATGATTGGACTGACGCAAAGGCAAAAGGGTAATCAACAGCATATATATATATATATAGAGAGAGAGAGAGAGAG